ATGCGGATTTTCCCAGTGTAAGCCTGTGAATCGGACAGCGGAAGTACGATTTGGCAGCCGATGATAGACAATAAACAGAAAGCGACCGAACCAGTTCCCCCTGGTTCTCGTCAATAATGGACTTCCGCTGTGTGCATACTGCAGGCAGCACGGCGTCTGGAGCTATGTGTGCATTCGAGGAAGAATGGCGAGAAAACTGCGCATTGCTAATGCATCTTACGATACGTAGCCATGTGGCCACTACCAATGTTGAGACGTCTGCCTGCGTAGGCAGGGGAGAGAGCTTTGATTTTTGGTCAGAACTTTGTGCCTTCGCACGTACGCATGAGGGGTGGAGGAGGAGGAGATTCTTTCGGAAAACGGTATAACAAGCTAAAGGCAGGATGAAGGAGTGGTGCGGAGGGATTGACATTAACCACAGAGATACTTTCAAAGGTCATAAGAAAGCAAGCAACCTCTTTTTGAAAAGGCGCCAATGGAGTCTAACCATTGCCTTGCTAGCTTAATACTTCTGCGCCAGAAAGTTTGCGCAAGGATTTCGTGTTGGCACATTTTTGCCGAACCAATGGGCTCAGATTTGTTTCTTTCTCTGCCGTTTGCGTCAGCAACGAAACCTTCCTGTGGCATTTAGTAATGCTAGCCGTAAGCCTTTAAGTTTGCATTGTATAGATCACGTACTGTATGATAGGTAGTGACGCTATTAGTTGGCATTTTCAGTTGAAACATTATGGGGAATTACGCGTTCCCATGGTATGTTGCGATAGGAGAAGATGTACAAAATAATAATGCGGCGCAGATGAAAACAGACTTTTCCGATTGATCGGTCACGGACAGTTAGCTTTAAGCGTTGTCTCTTCGCGTTGCTGTTAGGGCTGGAGAGTAAGCCCCAAGAGAGAACGGCACGAGTGTTTTCTGTCAGCCACCGATTAGTTTTCATCAACGGAAGACCTGAACATCACGTGCAGGTGCGCCTAGTAAACAAGAGCGCACCACGCACGTGACACGGAAGTGGCCCCCAACGTAAACATTGAGGACGGAAGCAACCAACGGATGACGTCATATAAAAAACTGCCAGTGGGTATTTCAGCTGTAAACGCCGGTGAGAGCTGCCTAATGACCTCGTTCTGTGGGTCTGTAAAATCAGTACCCATCACGGGGCACCATAACAAGTGTGAAAATGGTTCAAATTCTCCAGTATTTGCAAGAAAATGACCTTTTTAGGTAAAACACGTCAAACGAGCGGGCAAAGTTTTACATCGGCACACATGAACCTACAGCGATCATAAAATCGGTTACTTTAAGCCGCAAATGCACACGCTCTATGTGTGCTACGTGCTACGCATGCTACTCGCGAAAACAAAGTTCCGCAGTTAGGTGACAGAAGCGTTGGACGGATATGCCGAAATTCGCTCGTGTTTACAATTCGGTGCCGGTCATGCCTAAACTTGCGATACTGATTGCTGATTAGTTAAAGTGTTAACAAACGCTGCCACCTCCGTCAGATAACCTAACAGCGCTATTTCCTTCTTTACTCCAAGACAGCATTTTTACTGCAGCCGACGAGTCCCAAGCCTGATTACGCAGGCTACTCGAACAAGTTGGGGAAAATGAAAGAACACTGTCCTTGTGACGAGAGAGAGGGAGAAAGATAGAGACTGTCAATCAAATCGCAAACCAATTAACCATTTAGAAATAGTCGAGCAGTTGTCGAAATGTGTTTAGTATAACGGGGGTTTCAACCTCCTCGGACAAAGTCACAACCAATCTTACACAAAGATCACTTTCGGCGGAGTCAAGATTTGCTGCAGAGTTCTTGGCTGTCTCTGGAAACGAACATGGGAGCACCATGAGATCGAAATTAATCAAAAGTGATGGCGACCTGAGCAGAAATTTGCAGACCTTCAATGCATCTAACTTTCCCCACTCTTCCCTTAGCCATCGTGTGTCCAGCTGACAAAATAGGGTCCGTTCAAATTCAGATGGCTGACAAAAATTTGAAGACTGTATAAACAGCAAAATTTAATGGATCCATAAATTTCGAGAGGGCTCTTCAGTTGGCCACCCCTCATTGCATAACGTGAATGAACGTCCGAGAAAAAACTCAACTGAATTCATACAGACTGCAGACTGCCCCTTGGCCCTGGCTACAGTCGAGCTATTACGTGTCCTATAAATACGGCACTCCCTGGCGCCCTCAGCATTCTTATCTGTGACTGTCTCTGATGAATGGTTTGAGCGCGAAGCTAAAACGTCAGGCCACTATACGACATATTCCAGTGATCGCACTTTCGTCTTCTGAACTGCTTTCTGGAACGGGCCAGTTCGCGCCTATAGCCCTACCCTTGTGAACTCCTCAGCTAGCGACCTTCCCAGGCAGGACACTTATTGTGCAGCAGTGATGAGTGACACCAGGATGCCGACTTACGCTCTCATCTCTGCTAAACACGCAACAGTGGCCTGTCCAAGCCTGTCAAAACAACCCAACGGGGGGGGGTAAGCGCGCAGCAGTTGGAGGCGTCGCTTGGCCAAATGTACACGTTGGAACACGTTCTTTTGAAAGCCTGGCCATCAAGCAGCTAGGGTAGTGTTGGTCACGGTGACAAGTCTGCTGAGGGGTGACCGCTT